AAATGGTTTATATAAATGGTTTTGCCGAATAAATTCTGAGGTAGCGAACATTTAAACAACACGACTGATCCGTGGTTTCTGCTGTCGCCATCTTGATATATTCATCTTGCACTTGATAATTGAAGCGAAACGCAGCTTGTAACAACGATTCCTCTCTGTAAACTAGGTTTCGCGCCTTCAAGAGGAGAAGACCTCGCTAAAAGAGAGGTCGGAACAAGAAGTAGGTCAGCTGTGGACCCAGCTGGAGAGCATGAGGACCAGTCGCCAGGAGTTGGGAGGTGAGATTGACGCAGCTTGACATCTGCTTGACAGTGCTGTATTTTAATCTACTACATGTCTTTAAATACTTGCAGTTAAGATATTCAAAATGTTCCATGAACAAGGAGTATAAAACATGTTGCATTAATAACAATGGCTTTTGTCTGTAATGTGATATGACACACAGATGAAAATTTAACTTAATTCCAGTTACTGTGTGCTCTTACCTTTTTCTTTGTTGTCTAACCTTATTTCCTCGCAGAGCTGAAGGAGCAGCTGCTCGCTCGTTCATCTCGTGTCGATGACATTGAGCGCCTGAAGACTGAGTTTAATGAACAGAAACGGGAAATCAAAGAGCAGAATGAGGCTGAGCTGGAAAGCCTGAGGAGGTATGAGAGCACAAAGGAGAGACACACACACACACACAGTCTGGATGCATCATTGCCTACCTGCCTGTCCAGGTTTGAAATGTGATGCTTTAGAATAGAAACTGATATTAAAACTGTGGTGGTTTATCCTTTTTGTGGTTTGCGTTTTGGCCACAGTCTACAACATTTGTCAATTACCCCATGCCAGTCATACATGCTTTACCTTCATCCTCCTTTAGGTACTTTGAGCAGAGAATGCAGGCAACAGAGGAGAGCTACAGAGAAGAAATTGCTTTGCTTCAGCTGAGGCTGGTGGAAAGTGCCTTGGAAGAGTCCGTGCTTAAAACAGCAGATGACAGGTAGATCAGTATATAATACCAGATGCATGGACTACAAACTTGGATTCAATTCTTTTAATAATGGTACATTGTGGTTTCAGTTTCATATCTCAAGGCAAAGCTGAAGAGGAAAAAGATCATGTGCTCTCCGATACTGGCCTCAAACTGGAGAAACACAAGGTATGTACATACTAAGTTTTAATTTTTCTGCACAATTTTGGCTGCATTTGTTTCTTGATCACGAGGTGTCATGTTATTTCTCACTCAGGAAGCGCTCGATTGTTTGCGCCTTCAGCTGGTGGAGAAACACACAATGGAGCTTGCCAATCTAGAATCTTCTATGGCTCTTTCCTTTAAGGAAGAGCTGCGACAGGTCAGACTTCAAACTTTAACGCCTCTATTTACACAAAAACAGAATACAAACCTCATATGTGAGAGGCTCTTGGCACACAAATGCTCCCCGTTGAAGGGAAAGGGAAACGTTGTCATAGTTTTCAATATTGTTTGAATATGGGATGTTTTTGTGCATTTAGTTTTATTACATAACAGAAATAGTTGCCAAAAATGTCCGACAAGCAGTTCTGTTGGATTACACTGGCCCTTTTACTCTCTCACTTACTTGTTTTTACATTATTACTCATGCATTAGGTGCGCTCAGACGTCACTGACCAGTACTATGAGGAGCTGCAGGAGAAGATGACTCGTCATGCCCTGGAGCTAGAGCAAATTAGTGCCAAACTTTCTGACCGTCATTTACAAGGTACTTCACTCTCTCAAACACGCACGCACACAATTTTACAAACAATACAAGCATGGTATTGAGAAGTTTCGACAGTTAAGTAACGACTCCTCAAATGTTCTTGTCGCAGAGCTTACCAGAGTTCGTTCAGAGGCAGAACAGCAGGTTGAGGTGAGATTTGAGGAAAGACGATCAGATAATCTTTACAATAAATTACATATAATGGTCTATATAATGCAAGTTTGTGTTGCTTTTATTTAGTCGGAGGTAGAACAGAGGATGTGGTGTCACACTGAGGAGCTGCAGACCAGGCTGACCATCATCCACACACTGGAGAACAGACTGTCTGCCTTGAGTAAGCAACAGGATGCAGAAATGCAAAGGAACACACAAAAGGTACGCACTTGTATACAACACTGCATTCTAGAAAGGTGCAAATATACTGACGGCTATATAGAAGGACATGTGTTACTTATGTATACGTTCCTGTCAACTCCTGCAGCTGAAACAGGAGTTTGCTGAGGAAGCTCTGAAACGGGAGAGGGTGCATGTTCAGGACGAGATGAAGAGGCTGAGAGAAGAGCTCCACGAGGAGCACGACGCTGAGCTCTCTGCTCTTCAGTCAAACCTTCACAGAGAGACGGCGAAGGAGATGTCACGCCTTGAAAAAGCACTTCACGAGGAGAAGGAGAAGCTAAAGTCTCTACAGGCCGCACTGGACAATGATGAGAGTAAGATCATTTTATAAGACCCATGTGGGTTTTCAGTTGACTCTCTAGCTTCTAACATGGGTGTGTTTTGTCTTTTAGGCCCACAGGTCCTGATGGTGCGTCAGAGAATGGAGGCCCAGTATGACGGTGAGCTACAAAGGGAAAAGAGCTGCATAGCTGCAGAACTCAAGGAGCTTACTGCTCTCCTCCAGGAGCAAGGGGAAGAGCGGCTACGCCAAGCACAAGACAGGTGAGCTCTATGGAGGCTCAAGATCCTGAAGTCTTGATTGTAGCTGGAGGTCAATGGACTCCTACACACAAGTCATGTTTGTATTTGAGGAAAAGAATATCCAACATTTCAGCGACAGTGCTGCTATTATGGTCTGAAAAGTGAATGTTCTGCACCAAGTCACTGTGGACTGGTGTGTTTTTCCTGAAATCACAATAAAATCACCTTCAAGTTTCATCTCCATGACCCTTGAAAATGCTTTATATTGAATGATTTGTGGTCTTTTTATTTTATTTTTTTTGTGTGTTCAGGTTCCAAGAGGAAAAAGCAGCATTGGAACAGAATTTGGCCCAAAAATCTGAAATCTCTCTGGCAGAGCTACAGAAAAAACATCAAACTGAACTGGAACACGAGAGAGAAACACTTCTGAACAAACACTCCCAAGAGAAGCACGCACTCGATGCCAAACACAAAACACAACAAGAATCACTTGGTGCCAGTCACAGAGATCGGCTTACAGCTACTGCCGCTGAACTTGAATCCAAACACAAAGCGGAGCTTGTCGCCTTAGAAGCAGCCCTCGATTCCAAACGAAAGGCTGATCTTGAAAGTCTGGAGGCCGTTTTTCAGGAAACCAGTGAGGCTCAGCTCGAGGCTTTAGAAGCCGAGTTGACTCGCAAACACCAGGAAGAGAGGGATGAACTGGAAAAGAGGATGCTGGGTAATATGGACACTTTGGAGGCCACGTACCTGAAGGAAGTGCAAGTAAGGACACAGAAATACAATGTGGCCGTTGTTGTTTTAGGTTTCAAAAGTACTTTTGATTGCCATTGTTTTTCTTTTTCAAATCACAGATGCTGCGTGATGAAATGGTGCAACTTGAAGAGAGACATCGTCAAGACATGACTCTCCAGAAGTCCCAACATAAGCAGATAATGGAGCGCCATGGAGCAGAGCAGCTGTCTGTCAGAGAGGAACTGAGGAAAGAGCTGGCTCATGTGCACATGGAGAAGTTTACTGCCATGGCAGCAGAGCTCAGCCACATTCACAAGGTGAGAAGGAAAGATTGGGTGGTGGTATAACAGGCATCAGTCAGATTATCGGTCAATAAGCAGAAATACAGATCTAAAAATGTTATTATTTTTCACAATTTGTTCTTCCAGACTGAGCTGGCTGCTCAAAAAGAGGCCTTAGATACAGAACACTGCAAAGCTCTGGAGACTCTTAAGAAGCAGGTATTTACCCAATCGTCCCGACACTACCTTTGTTTTCTAATCTCTTTAAAAGCCCACATTTTAATTATCTTCCCATGAGGACACTGATGAAAATGGCTCATTAGTTTGAAGTTGCCATGCTGATATAAATAGGAAATATTGATAATTTAGTTTTATTTGAACTGATTCAAACATTCAATGTCTTATTCGGATTTTTGCAGCATTGTAATAAAGTATCTTAAATTAGGTATTTGATCCACTGGATTTATCAAACCTCCTCCTGGTTATTGTATCTATAAATAGTTTTTAAATTGGTTTTAGAAACGTGTATATATAATTAGGTAAATTGGTAATGCAACGTGAAATGACATCACAAAAAATGACAGCTCATATGTGATATTGCAAACCCCTGAGCTGGCGTTAATTAGTCTAATAAATCAATCTTCCCGAAAGCTTTTGAAACTGAATTTTAGAGATAACCTGTTCGATTCCTTGATCATTTCCTTTCCTATGGTAAATGTTGACTTTTTTCAATCCTACTCCTTTCGTGTTGTTTTGATGTTCAGCAAGATTTGATGCGTCTTTGCATCCTGTACACTTATCTCAGGTTTTGGAAGTGGAGCAACAACACAGCACTGCTCTTCAGGAGCTCTCGCATACCTACACTGCTGAGAAAGAGCAACTCATTGCACAGCAACAGCTCCAGCTCCAGGTGTGTGTGTGTCGAGCATGAGGGAGCATCACGCTACCTTTGTGTGTGTGTTTGAATTTGTATTTTTTTACAGCGTGAGTTGACATCCAGTGCTCTGCCTGGCGAGTAGCCTCGTCTCTGTGGCTCTTACAGCCCATTAGAGAAGGGATTACACTGAATTATTCTCCATCTTTCATAATGGTGTCTTTGTGTGAGGCAAAGAGTATTTATTTGTTTTGTTTTTTTCTGAGATGCACTCTGAATCTGAACATTTGACCCAACTGCATATTGTGGTATTAAACAAACCCATGACATGTGGCTGCTCCAGGAGTTGAGGGCCGTCTCTGCGCGGGAATTGGAGGCATGTCGCAGGGAGCTGGAAGAGGAGTCATTAAGGCAACGTCAGCACTTCCTAGAGGAGGTGGAGCTCCTCAAAGTCCAATCAGAGGAGAGACTGCAGGACACGATTAATCAACTGAAGGTAAAAGAGGAAAAAGATGACAGTGTGGATAGCTTAAGTGCTTCAGTATTTGAACATCTATTAGGCAGCCATGTTGCTTACATATAATCATCCTTTTTTTTTTGTGGAAAATATGATCTTTGTTGTGGAGTTATTTGACTTTGAGTGCCTGTTTAAAACAACATTATGTAATATCGCTGGATTATTGAGAGCTGTGTGTGTGTGTGTGTGTGTGTGTGCGCGCATGCTGTGGCACTGCCCTCTCTAAGCTCCAGCTGCACCAGTTCATTCCTAGGCATAGCTCTTGGTCGGACTCTGTCCCACTGGAGCTTTATTCAAACCCAGTTTCCACATAATCCCTCCATCATCATATATGTAGAAGTGTTCTTGTCCATCTGTCTCTCTGAATCTGTCCTGGGCTGTGGGTGTGTTTGTGTTACTGCCATCTACAGTGGCTAAATGGGATGGATCTAAGCTTTTTATCCTCGGATGCAGAAGGTTTTAAGGCTGAAGGTACTTTTTTTTTTTTTTTTTTTTTTTTTTTTTTTTTTTTTCAGGCATTTGGCATTTGACCATCTGAAATGTGCAAGCCAGTAGTCAGCCAGTGAGACATGGCCGGAGATCTCTTTTAGCTGAGGAATAAATGAGCCAACACTGTACTGCAGCTTTTTAGGATGGTGATCTGCATCTTTTAATTGATGTACCAACATCACTGCTTTTTGTTTGAAGACGGAATTTGAAGAGCAGAAGGAGGCGGAGCTTGAGGACCTGAAGCGGAGCGTCACTTCTGAACAGGAGGAGAAGGAGCAGAGCTACACGGGCAAAATGAGTCAGCTCACTATCCAGCTGCAGCAACTGGATGCTGTGGTGGCCCAGGTACCTGACGCACACACACACACATGCATACATTACCTACCCAGTCTAGTGGTTTTATAGGTTTTACGATTCTTTGTGCAAATAAAAATGAAATAAATAAACTGGCACCAGCAGCTTCACTTTGCTGGGGGACAAGATTGGACAGGCCTGAGAAGAATGTGTTGCATCATGGGTGTTGAGGCTCAAAGGATGAAATGAATGAAAATAATTGGTGCATTAGAAGTTATAGGGAATTAGAAACTGTAAATACAATAAAGACAGCCTGGGAATTGAGTGAAGAGAGAATAATGCGCTAAGGCATCCATAGGGTAGTTTTTCTTTGCATGAGATTACGTCTTTTAAAAAAAAAAAAAATAGATTGTCGTATCGATGAAACTCTAATCTGGTGTGATTCGTGGTCCTGCTCTCTTGGTTGAAGCACGCAGTAGAACTGAAACGACTAGTTGGGTAATCGATTAATCATTGGAATACTGGAACTTTAAACTGTTTACCATCTCTTTGGTTACTAATCGTTATACTCAATAAAGCCTACGTGTATTTTTCCAAAAGACAGTTTATGGCTTTATCGGGACTGACTTCATAAATCAATGTGTGATTTCTGCAGTCTCGTACTTACCTACACGTCTCCTAACTCTGTGAATCCATATTAGATCTTGTTGGCACAATCAGCAATGTGGCGTGTGTGTGTGCATCCGTTTCCATGGCACCTTCCTGGCTTGGCTCTCGATAGTGAGATATTACCTCCCCCCCCCCCATGAGGTTAGATTAGCAAAGAGAAGCTTAAGAGGGGTTGGGAGGGTGCTGTTGTCAGGGAAACAACATTGTTTTGTTGAGGCAGGTGGCTGCATGAGAAGTGTTTGTGGGAGAGGGAACAAGAGAGGGAAGAAGACGTGGTGAGAGGAGAGGGAACAAGAGGGGGAAGAAGACGTGGTGAGAGGAGAGGGAACAAGAGGGGGAAGAAGACTTGGTGAGAGGAGAGGGAGCGAATGAAGCGGTCGAGGAACGAAAGGTGAGATGAACTGAGCTTCAGAGACCTGGAAGAAAACTGGGAGAACGTGCAGAAGTTGTGCCTCAAGCAGACACTGACGTGGAGATTAACCAGAGTACGTCTGCCAACAATGCCTGATGATCACAGCCAGTATGTATGTATGGATGTATGGATGTATGTATGGATGTATGGATGGATGGATGGATGGATGGGCGGGCGGATGGATGGGCGGGCGGGCGGGCTATAGGCTGGTTTTAACGGAGAAGGAGTGTGTTTTGTGTCTCATAGCGGATGTGATTTTGGTGCTGGTTATTGTCTCTGGCTCACGTGGATGTCTTTAACAAGTCATAGCACAGGTGGGAGAGGTGCAGGTAATAGGTGTGTGTGTTAAGTGTTGGTAGAATTAACTGCTAGCTCTGTCCCCGTTTCCAGCTGCGAGCAGAAGTTGGCTGTCTGCAGGGGGAGTTAGAAGGGAAGCGCTCGGAGATGGAGACTCTGGACACTCTCCTCCAACGAAGGGAGCGAGAGAGTCAAGAGGGAGGCAACCTTCTGAACATGCTCACTAGTGACTTGCAGACTGCTAAAGAGGAAAGGTAAGTGGTGTTGTGGACATTGTTCCGTGTTTGTAGCATTTACAGCTGGGTGAATTGTATACTTAATGGTGAGAACACCAGCTATCAGTTAATATTAGTTTTTTTTTTTTTTTTTTTTTTACTTAAAATTGTATTAAGGTGAGAATCTGTTTTGACTTTATTGGAAACATCCAGATGCCGGTGTGTTAAATGTAGAAAGTAATTAGTTTGCACATGTGTCGCTTGTGCTTTCCCAGATGTAAACTGCACAAGGTCAATGAAAAACTGAGGAAGGTGCTGATTGAGATGATTAGCAGCACCATTACAACAGAAGACCTGATTGGACAAAAGATCAGTGCCAGAGCCCAAACATCTGAGCAGGCGACCCGTCAGAGGAGCTTAACGGGGAACAAAGATGCACAAGAATCCGGTTTGTTGGCATTCTATGCTTTATCTTATGCTCTAGTTTTTGTTAGAGATACAGATATACATAAACATTCAGTTCTTCAGACACCAAGGGGCAATGATTACTTTTGACTTATTCATTTCGTAGGTATTTCAGTGGCGGACGTGTCTTCAGAAGACATGGAGCTGACCCAGCTGCTCTGTGAGAGCCTGCTGGTTTCAGATACTCAGATCAGTCCTGGGGGAGAAGAAGCTGCTCTGAACGCCTGCAGCCGACTGCGTCACACAGTCGAAACACTACTGGAGCTGCTCAACCAAGCCAACGCGCAGGTAAAGGATGCAGAGAGCTCCACACAAACCGCGCCCCCCCCGCCCGCCCTGCCCCCCCCCAACCCCCCCCCCCTCACAGAGCAGCTGGGTCATCTCCATGTCTTCTGAAGACACGTCCGCCACTGAAAT